CTGAGTTTCTGATCTGAAGATGGAAAGGATATGTCGAGGAAAAGTGCGGAGAATGCTAAATAGCTTCTTTGACGAAATCCAAAATAAGCATCACTGCAGGCTGTTAGCGAAGACATATAGGATATTTAAGCAGGCGGAGATGAGCATGCACTTTTCCTTTGGATTGCTGACGTAACCGACAGCTGAAGAGATAAGTCAGGCATGATTCATCAGATTTGTGATCAATGTTTGCTCGAAAACTAGGCGTAAATATTTGTAAGGGTGGCGACATGTGTGAACTTAGTGTGTATTAAGAAATTGAACGTACGCCATAGAATAAAATGAATTATATAAAATGAACTGATAGTCAGTTTTGCAGTGGTCAGAAGGGAGCCAGAATGTCTATACTAGTAATTGCCGTAATCGTTCGTTGAAATAATCCGTTTCGTTCACATGATGAGAACATCATCCCAGTGTTTTTCACACTGTCATTGCTTTCCGTTCGGTTTGGGGATCTTCTTTCTGTCAATGCAGTTATGTTTAGGATGGAACCAGGTGCAAACTATTGACTCGCTTCTGCGGAAGGGTGGCTTCCGAGGTCACATAACTCCGGAGGTGCGGAACAGCATTTGTTTGGTGCGGTTTCAATCAGAGAAAATGAGCGTGTCTTACGCGGAGTACATGGCCTACAAGCAGGAGGCCAATCAGTACGATCGCGTGAACGTGTTTGGAGTTTACTCGCTGTCGGACGGCGGTCATACACACAACGGCTTACCAGGCACCGTGGTCAGTGGTGACGACTGCTATGCTGATCAAAAGCCGTCGAACAAGTCCGAATACTGTGTCAATGGGCGATTGTACCAAAGTCGCAACAAACCGCACAGTCACCAGCGCGCTGCCGCTGACCTGAAGCTACAGGAAAATGCTGTATCGTGTCCTCTGAAATCGTCTTTACACATTCATCTTCCGAACGCCGGCGATTTCAGTCACATTCTACCTCGTAATAATTACACGGGACCTGAAATGCAAAAACGAAATTAATCTTGAAATTATTTTTAATCACGTCAACCATAATGCTTTTTCATGTTCTTTTTTTGCATTCTTGGCGTTAGGGTCATCGTTATTGACACACGTTTATCTTTATAGTGTACCAGTTCTGTTAGTCGATCAAGAGTTTTAATGGCTCCGTGTTTTTGTGTTGCATATTGTTATATACTGTCTGCCCTGAGCTAGCGAAAGAGTATAGGATACACAGCTGGACCAATTCGGCATGTCTGTAACAGTCTGGTACGTGTCATAAAGAGGGACATAGAGGAAAGAAGTGAGTGCGGTGATGAACCTCACGAGAAAGAACATGGAAGCGAAGCTTACGTACTTTCAGTGACTATTCAATAGGAACAGGAACACGATTGATTATGTGACATAGTTTAGGCATAAGTTAATTTTCGTTTCCAGGAGGTGGTGTCGATGTTATCCGGCGGTGAGTCGATTGTTCGCTAAGCATTTGTGCGTCATACTACGATATGATCCTGTCAATGTCTGTGCGTCGTTGAATTGTATGTTCTCAGTCAGTCGGTCAATTAGTCAGTCTTTTTCATCTTCAGGTGAGAGTGCTTATTACTGCCAATTTTGTTATATCTGTAATCCTCTTATACTGCTAATCGCTG